CTGGCGTCCTCCGATCTGGACCGCTGTCCCGCCCCTCCCTTTCCCGGTTCCACATCCCAGGCCTCTTCCTCCTGCTCTTTCCCCTCCCCCAAGCGCGGGTCCAAGGTGCAAAGATCTGGGTGTCTGTTCGCAGGCTCTTCCCTGGACCTGGCGTCCACCTCCGCCCCGGACTCCCAGGCTGCAGCTTTGGCGCCTGGTAACAAGCCGCTTTCCTTCAGAAAGCCTCCAGTGTCCAGGTCGATTTCGTCGGACACCTCCGTCCCAAATGCCACCTCGGCGGGGCTGCAGTTCCCAGCCGGCGGCAGCGCCCCCACTGCTGAGCCACCCGCCTGCGCTCAGTCCTCGCCCGTGGGACAGTGGGCCGGAGCACTGAAACCCGACGTGGACCTCCTCCTCCGAGAAATGCAGCTGCTCAAAGGCCTTCTGAGCCGGGTGGTCTTGGAACTAAAGGAGCCACAGGCCCTAGCGGAGCTCAGAGGGACCTCTGAGACCCCCAGTTCCCACTTTGCTGTGAGCCAGGGGACCCCAGAGACCACTCGGGTGGAGACCTGAGAGGCAGCCTCCGTTTCTCTTCTCTCCATGACCGTTCCTCCCGGGTCTGCCCCGCTTTCCCTCACGCGCAGACCCTTTAGAGCCATCTCTGTGCTTTGTTTTGCTGTGATTGTAGAAGAAGCACCCACAAAGTGTGGTGGCTGACGATTTCGACCTCACACAGCGGTTTGTAACCACAAGCATTCTCCTTGATGTTTCTTCTCCCAGAATTCAGTAGGCAAAGAGAAATCTGCTATTTACAATTCTGAGGGTTACAGTTTGGACATTAATTCAGTCATCCCTACTCATCCTAATATAAGCCTGGCAAGAACATATTTCAGCCTAAATAATTGTTTGGTATTTAAATTCACTGAGGTCAATGAACACTTTAGATAATTTTAGGGTCATGTTCTAATTACTCATAATGAATTCACTCTCTTGTTAATATTAAAAAGACTGCCCTATTACTGATGAGTTCACATCTTCAAAGTCCTGGGTTCTATTTAGTGTTAGAGGGAAAGGTATTTGTGTGGGCCCGGCATTCCTGGGCTGAAGCTCAGAATTCAATTAGGCTCTCTCAGTTGCACGCCCTGCCCTGCACAGCCAGAAAGGTAGGAGCTGGGAGCAGCCCATGCTAAGCTTACTGAAAAATGAAAGAACCTTCCATTTGCATTCAGAAATCTTTTTGAGCAAAATTTAAGACAAACCCTTAACATTGCTGAATTATTTTTAGTAACTTTTCCTTTCTAAAAACCATTCAAACCCTACCTCACACCTGGAGGTACACATGTACAGATCCATATGTCATCCTGCCAGGAGATGTTACTGGGGAATGAAGGAAGAAAAGTAAGAGGCCATCTCAATGCTAAGTTGAAGCTCGTTCCCTGAAAATCCATCTGCCCACTGGAGTCCTGGGGACCCTGTAGGGCTGGTATGATTTGATCTCAGGTCCCATTCTCATTAGGTTGATACCCTTCTTTAGTTAAGTTTCACTGTTAAGGCTCAGAACTAATAACTACACCCTCCTCTCCTTTACTTCTGGTAGAATCGAAACACCCCGTTTCACCTCCTTTCTCATTCCGTTCATCCTTTCTGTTTTAGGTATTGGACCCAGCCAGGGCTTTCACACTGAGCTATATCCCCAGCCCTTTTCATTCCTAAATCACCCAGACTGGGCTTGAAATTGTGATCCTCCTGCCTCAGCCTCTCATAGCGGTGGGATTACAGCATGTGCCTGGCTTTCGAGTGATTTAACCAGCATAACAGCAACAGTCCTCACCACATTCTTAGTATTAGTCTGCACCATTTTATTACAAAGTCACTGTAATTACACAGGGTGCACCTGTAAATCACACTGCAACGTGATAAATGCTTTGTGCAACATTACAGGAATTCAGAAAAGGAAGCAAAATCTCCAGTGGAGAACAAGAATTTACCAAGAAGAGATGTGAGAAAGATTGAGGCGTAGGGCAGCAGGCTGAGGATGCCAAGGCATGGAGACGCGAGGCTGTAGTATGCGGGGCTGCAAATGTCTGGGAGTGGGTGGAGACTTCAGCATGTTTATGTGGTGCTGGGGATTATATTTTTGAGGGGAGGAGGCAGAGGTGCATATGGAGAAGTAGGAAGGGACCAGTACTTGAGAATCTTTAAGAGCTACTCTAGCCTGTAGGACATTTTGGAAGCACTCCTGACATGAGGGTGTCCTTATGTCTTACTGCCGGAGTTGCCAATGTCAAATTAGAAAGAATCAAACTGATCTTAATGAGGATCTTAACTTGTTTACTACTGAGAGGTCCAGGTACCTGTAGTAGATACCTAGTTTGGAAAGGCCTTTGTGGCTCTGATTTCCAGCTTTCTAATGCAGGCTTATTTCCCTTGTCAGAACTCTCCTGCTGGCAGCCTTCACTTGGATAACTGCACTCTAAGCCAGAGTGCAGGCTCTTTCCCCTTTCTTATTTTGTCCCCTTGAGGATCCTGCTATCCCTGAGTTAGACAGGTAGTGACTAGAAAGAGTGCCAAGAGACTTAGTAGTCAGAGTATCTCAGGTCAAGTGAAAAAAAATCAGTTCATCATTTTTTCAGAAAGAAAAAAGTAACTAACAATGCAGAAGAGAGCTAGTATGTTAGTTTCTCCTGCATCACACCATGTTAGTGGTCACAGTGTACCCTTCCTACCTTGCCTCCTATACCCATTTATAACTAGGGATATGGGGAGGGTGGGAAAGAGCAAGAACTTTTTGGTAAGCTACTCATGGCCAAAATTATTCATGACCAAATGTTCTTGTGTGGGAGAGGAAAACTGACTTCATTTTCAACAATGTTGGCTCCATTGTTTTTGAGCCACCTAGCCCGAATTTCATATAGGACCAAGATTATTCTGAATGATATCTGTTAATATTCTTCCAGGAAGATCTACACTAAGGAAGGTAGCATCTTAACAGTAACTATATTCCTAAATATAATGTTAAACCATAAAAGCCATGCTCCTTAGCTTTCAATTTAGAAGTGGCAGAGTACACAGGTTAAGAATTCTAGCTCAGAAGGCAACAGATTTAGGTTCAAATATTACTTTTTCTAGCTGTGTAGCCTTGGACATGATACATTGTGGTAGAACTTGTGTCCTCATCTTTAAAACCAAATATGTAACCACTATGGAAATCAGACTGGAGATTCCTCAAAAAGCAACCATTTGACCCAGCCATTTCTCTTCTAGATTTTTTCTCAAAAGACTTAAATATTATACATTATTATTATTATTTTTTTTTTTGGTACTGGGGATCGAACTGCGGACTTCGTGCTTGAGAGACAGCCAGTGGTACCACTGAGCTAAATCCCTGGCCCTGTCATTCTTAATTATGTATCAACAGGGAGCTTAAATGAAATAAATTGGGTAAAGTATTCATAAAACTTTTTTTTTTTTTTGGCAGGGTATCACCAAACTGCTCTGGCTGAGGTTGAATTTGTGATCCTCCTGCCTCAGCCTTCCAGAATGCAGCGATTACAGGCATGTGCCAACACCTCTGACTTCCTAAAACATTTTCATATTCAGAATCTGACTTTTCTGATTCACAGTTTCCAACTTTGATTTATTTATCCACTCTCCATGTTTTTTCACATCTGTTTCACCTATTATTCCTTGAAGAGTATGTCATAAAAGAAGCCATAAAAGCAAAAGTTATAGCTGGATGAGGTGGTGCACTCCTGTAATCCCAGCACTTGGGAGGCTGAGGCAGGAGGATTGCTTGAGTTTGAGACCAGCCTGAGCTACACAGTGAGTTCCAGTTCAGTGTCAACTACATAGTGAGGCCCTGTCTCAAAAACTACAAAAAAAAAAAAAACAAAAAAAAAAAACACCCCAAAACAAAACCAAAAAAACCATAGCTGTATTTATAATGTGTACTCCAGTTTGGCCAAAGTGTGCGTCTGCACATGTGCATGAGTGTGTGTGTTTGTGTGTGTAAACACAAGAACTGGGCGTGGTGGTACATCTGTGATCCTAGCAGTTGAGGGGATGAAGCAGGAGTCTGAGGCCAGCTTAGGCTACACAGTGAGTTCAAAGATAGACTGGACTACATAGAAAGACCCTGTCTCAAAAAAACAAACACAACAGAACAACAAAAGGAGGATGCATTTTACAGTATTAATAGTACATATTGGTGGATTTCTGGGAAATGCTTAATTTGCTTCTCTATATTACTGTAATTCCCTATAATAGTCATGCACTGTCATTAATAAGTTAAAAGAAGTAACCAAGTGACAAATGAATCCTATTGTACCAGAAAACCACCACAACAAAACCCAGCAACTATAAGAGGTATTGTGATTTCAGAGATATTCACAAATAGTTGGAAAAAAAGTTTTGGAATTAATAAAATACAAAATGCACCCCGAGGTCTAGAAAAGAAAATTTTAAAAGTCTAGAAAAAAAAGATATGCATGGTCTTACATACATGCCAGAGACTATGCATGTCTTACTTACAGCCAGAGACTAAGAGCGCACTAGAATTCTGAAGGGAACTTAAAGACTGTTTAGTTCAACCAAGAAATCACTTCTTGAGTCACTTCTAAGCGTTTTTTGCCAGATAGCCACACAGGCACACTTGAGAAGAACGTGGCCCTTGTGGCCTCCAAAAACAGCCTTCCCCATCTTTGGGCAGCTTTGGGAACTAGAAATGAAACTGTGAAGTTGGAACTGAGCTTCACTTATTTATTTTTACTAGTACGTGTTTGCGATACACAGTTGATTACAGCTGCCCTGGGGAATGGTACATGTACAAGACATGTCTTAATTCTTTACATATCCACCTCACTCCCCCTGCCTTAGAATACTTTAAAAATTCAGAATTTAGGACCAGAGATTTAGCTCAGTGGTGCCACTGCCTGCCTCATAAGCACAAGGCCCTGAGTCTGATCCCTGGTACAAAATAAATAAATAAATAAACAAAAATTCGGATTTTAAGAACAAAGCTAGCTCTATTTGTTCACTTTGTCATGCTGAGTGCAGCCACTGTCACCTCCAGCTCCAGGCTGTGGAAGTTTCTGCAGAACAGACTTTCACCATTTTCTGGGCCTCTGGGGGGGCCAAAGCCTGGCTGAATCTAATGCACGTACGTCTCCTGGCCTTTGTTCTGCCCCTCCTGTAAGTTACAGTACTTCTGCAGGGTAGAGAAAGGCAGACTAGCTGCTCATTCAGTTTGGCCAAATTGTGAATATGAGCTTCCTTAAATACTTCACGGTGAGCAGGCAAATGAATCCAGATAGTTGGGGCCCAGATTCAGCCTCTGGCTGGCTCCCTGGTGACAGAAAGTTCATTCTTATTGTGGCAGGATGATGGCACACACCTGTAATCCCAGCTACATGGGAGGCTGAGACAGGAGGATTGCAAATTTGAGGCTAACCTGGACAATTTAGGGAGACCTTGTCTCAAAAGCAAATAAACAAAAATTTTAAAAGGACTGGAAAGGTAGAATGCCCCTGGACATGATTGTCAGTACTTTAAAAAAGATTTTTCCTTGTTATCACGAACAAAGTGATTTTGTTTTCGCTTCTACTCATTGTACTTCCTAGGGTTACACAGAACAATCTAATGCCTGGTCCTGCTTGCAATCCTTCAGATATTTAAAGACACTGCTTAGCTCATGCCTACGTTTTCTTAAAGGCACACTGTTTTTCCACCCCAGAGTTTTCAACTATTTCTAACATAGAATCCTTTCCTATCCTCGCTTTTCCAACACATCCTCTGTATCTGGTTTAAAATATGAAGCCCACAGTGGACTGCAATTCCTCGGATGGGTGTGTCTGGGAAGCAGAAGAAGGAAGGCAAGATTTTATTTTAAGTTTTTACAATTAAGCAGTTACACTTGTGACAGGATGTCAAAAGTGACTGTTTCAAGATATAATAGATGCGAAATTCTAAGGCCAAAACAGCATATGCAGAATTCATAAAGGAAATGGTTGTGAATCTGTTCCTTGACTGTTGGGACTCTGAGGTCACATTAAGGAGGTAATACAGGGTCAAGATAT